CAAACTCCGTAGGGCTAATGATATGTAGCCCTTTTTGTTCCACACTTTTCACCGTTTCGTGTGAGCTAAGAGGTTTGGGGTAGTGGGTTAAGGTAAATTTTCTTTCTATTAAACATGAAAGAGCAGGAATTAGATCGACCATAGATGGTTACATATACGTCAAATAACCAAGATCGTCCTAAAATAATGTGCCCGACATCCATGGAGATAATGTCATACCATATATGGTCTTTATACTCGAGGAACTGGATAGGGACTAGACAACGCTCATTGATAGCTATAGAAGATGTATCGACCCAGGAGACGCTATACGGCTGATGGTGAGGAACTGACTTTAACCCAAGGAGGGATACAGTAGCCATCGAAACCACATTAATGTAGCTGCCATTATCCACAATAACTTTATAGCGCTTATCATTGATCTTGATATAAGTGTGGAAGATGGCATGACAACGCCACTCATCGGCATCCTTGGGCTGGGTAAGAGTGCAACGGATGACACCAACTCTAGGTGTATGTGGGATAAGGGGACTATTCTGAATACAACCTAAGAAGGTCTCTTCACTATCCTCTAAGTCATCAAACTCTTACAACTTAGGTTCATAAACTTGGTCCTCTAATGGCTCGTCAACATTACCTTTATGCTCTTCCATAACTAGGGCTCGGCTAGGACACTTAGAAGAAATATGACCAAAATCCTTACAGTTTAAGCATTGCAAACGGGAGGACGCCCTTAAAACCTCAGAATCTCTACCTTTACTATCCAATGCATGGGTAGCATTAGAAGAAGGAGGCCCTAGAATAGACTTAGAGGATAGAGTGGATGCAGAAGAGGTTGCAGTGCGAGTGTTACTACAAGTTCCACACGGTGTCCTAGTGACTAACTCGTAATTTCGAATGAAAGAATAGGCGTGGTCAAGAGTTGTGACGCCTCTAAGGGCAAGCTCACGCCTAAAATCATCTCTTAGGCCTTGTCTAAACCTACTCAAGGTCATGACCTCATCCTCAACGACTTGATATCTCATTCGAAACTCATCAAATTGAGCAACGTATTCGGTCACAGGTCGATTGCCTTGCGTAAGTGTGTTCTATTGATCCAACAAGTTACCCCTGTAAGATTGAGGTAAATATTTTTCTTGAAGGCGACGCTTCATTTCATCCTAGCTCCCAACAGGGGGAGCATGACGTCTCTCCAGGAGGTCCTCAACACTTTCCTAAATGAGTTGAGCAGTGCCAGTTAATTTTAAACAAGCAAATTGTACCCTCCGATCTTCCGGGACCCCATACCAGGCAAAGAAGCGATCCATATCCCTAACCCATTGATTAAATACACTAAGATCTAAACAATCATCAAATGTAGAGACATCTAACTTAATGTTTCGAAAGAGGCGCTCCTCGTGGCGAGGGGGAGATTGTGTACCATGACGGTGATATTCCCGCTCTCGTCCACGAGCCTGATTTTCTTCCCTATGATCATGTCTAGCGTGGTGTCGACCATCTTGTGGATGATGATGAGGTTTATTAATGGAAGTTTCAGAGTTTTCAACTTCAGTCGAATATGGGGTTGGATCAAGAGTGTTCAACCTAGCGGCTAGGGCTCTATTCTTCTCACGAGTAGCGACTACCTCAGTTTGGACAGCCGTTAATTGATTTTGTAGTTGTGCCAACTGTCGGGTGAAGGCCTCAATTTGGGATGGATCCATGGCAACAGTACTAGAGCTAGAGGTAGTCACATGACCACTACGTAAATGCATACAAAGTAACGCTAGCTAAGTGAAGTGCACTACCGAGATCAATAAACAATGGGTACCAACAGGGGAAATTAGCAATTTGAAGTTTCGCTTGTGATTTTTCTTTTATTATTATTTTTTTATTTTTTGATTAACTTAAAAATGGGATTACGTAAGTCCAAACTTGACAAGCTAATAATGCTGATTCAAATAAAATAAGAAGCAGGGGTACAAATGACAGCCCAGTCATGTGGGGTAAACGAGGAAACAATGGAAGTTAGTTTGTGAATTCCAATCAAGTGGGTTTAAGGTTAAAATTATCCAAGCAATAGCAACACATAGAATTAAATGATACAAATTTAAATAAAGCAGTTGTGTAAACCGATAATAGATAGAGGTCAAGAACTCCATGTTGTTTAACTGCTCGAACTGCTGACACGTGGGTTCTAGATATATGTGCATTCTTTTCTTCGTTCAGGTGGTTGTCCTTTCAAAAATCCAAATGCAACTGGTAAAATAACAATGTGCTTGTTGTGTGGTGATTATCCCCCTGTTGTGGTGAAAAGTGTGAGATGGAAGTGGTTGCTGACTGTGATGAGAGTGACCAAAATTTCAATTCTGCTAGTGGTAGCAAGGGCTGTGGTTTTGGCTATGTTGTGAGGAGTAGATATACAGTGCCTTAATAGTGGAGATGACTATGCCTTTGAACGTGAGTGGCAGTGACGGGGTGGCGACTGAGAAGAAGGGGCTGTAGGTAATAAGTGATTGTAACTGGCGGCTTGTGGCGATGGAAGTGTATGGGGTATGGGTCGGTGGTCGTGGCTTGAAGCTGCAAGCGATGGCGACGTGGATGGACGTCGGTGAACCATGCGATTGAGGGTCGCCAGCGTGGATGCACGAACGGGAGTTGGGCCAATTTCTAGGTTATTGTGACTGTTAGTGGTGATGGGTTGTGGAGTAGAAGTTGTGAAGACAGATACAAATTAGACTTGGGTTGTGGAAGATGGTGGTGGTTCTGATTGAAGAAGATGACTGGAGTGGAGTCAGATTTGCAAGGAAAGGTTGCGACCGGCAGTAGCGACTGTAGAGGAGTCCCTTGGACGGGGTCGTCGACGTGGGGAAAATCGAATTTCTAGAAGAGGAATTGGGTTGTCGGCAATGGGGATGGTGGATTGGGTCTTGATTATGTGGGTAAATGGTTTACTGGGTTGGGTAATATGTGGTGAATGGGCCGGGTTGGAGTATATTGGGCTAATGTGTTGGGCTTCGTGGAAGTGGGTAATCAGAGGATTGCTGGACTGAGTTTGTATGTGGACCAATTAGGAAAGTGTAAATAGGGTTTAGGGTTGAAATGGATGGAACAACAATGTAGTCCAACTAGCAGCAACCACAAACTGACAAAATACGAAAACTTTTTTTTTTTGTATTAGACTGCAGAAAAATCTAAAAATTCAAAATTCCGGGTGTAAATAGTACCCGTGAAGAGTAAACCTTTTTTTTTTTTTTTGCAACTAAGAGAGAAACGTGAAGGAAAAAGAAACTGCTGCTCTTACGTTAAATCGTTTACAATTGTGCTGTTCCAACAAATTTTGGGAATGAGATATGAAGAGATTTTGGATTGTAGGAGAGAAATTACCCAACTGGCTCTAATATCAAATTTGGTGCAAGACCAACTGGAACATTCAATTGAAAGTGATAACGAATCTATGGGGAAGAGAGAATTGAGGGAAGAGCGGGGTGGAAGAAGAATCAATAGGAGAACCAGTAGAAAACAGGTGGGAAAAAGAGACAAAGTGCCACGAGCTATCAAAATAATAATTCATTCATCAACTGTCAATTACATGGCTAAAGAGATTTAAATAACAAGAAAAACCTAAAGAGAGAAGGCCAAACCCATTACACGAGTCCATAAAGTAACCCAACTAAAATAAACAAACCAACAGTCCAACTAAAATGAAATAAATAAATTGGATGTCACTAAAATAAATAAACTAGATGTCCTCATCACCATCTAACCTAAACTTGGGCCATCCAAGAGTATAGGTCGTTTCTGAGTCGAGTCAAGTCCATGGTGTCGATAAATTATTCGACAACTATTTTAAATTATCGCCCGGATTTATTGGGTACCAAACCCAACAAACACAAAGAATAAGATTGTCATTAATCACTTAAAACAAGGATCAGGAAGGTGACCAGGTCAACTTCAAGGATTTAGAGACATCTGCTGAATTGGAGGTTCAAATCAAAGTGCCATTGCTGGAGTGGTTCGCGAACGAGTACAGAAACTTTGGCTGTACACGAGTTTGTCACGAACAAGTCCCAAGAGGGATCACAGTACTGCATAGGATTTGGTGGCATTGGGGGAATTCTTAGCCACCAGGTTTAGGTTCGGTCTTTTGATGAGCCATCTGATGATGAAGGATTGTATATGGATTCAGTTTAAGTTGAGCTGATACTGATGAAGCAAAGATGACAAAATACTCAAATGCTTGAAGTTGGGTAGCTTTCAGTACCTCTGAGTTTCCGTTTATCATGAATTATATCAATTTGACATTTTTTATGTCAATTATCTGGTACAGAGATGATTTTGACTACTTGAAAAGATTTCTCGGTATATATGTCATGAAATATAAATCCAAGAATACGATAGTCTGTAACTTTCATCTTTCCATATGGGACAAAGAAACTTCTCCTTTTGTTCGAGTGACAACAAAATGACAATTTTGTCCTTCAAGATTGCTTCCAACATCCCTTGTGCTTCACTCTGGTCTGAGGATGAATGAGGTGTAAAATGGTCCTAGTATGAGTTCAGATTGTCTTTCTTATATATCCCCTTTGAATTTTCAACTATGCATCTCTCAAATGAAATGCAATTATTGTTTAACATGTTCATGTATAATGCATATTAGTAGCACAGGTATTCAAGCACAGTACATCTCTTGTGGAGCATTTTGCAGAAAACTTTTAAGTATTCTACCCAACCCTGCTAAGGGATAAAATCCCACGTCGAATAAAGGTGAAAACATAGACTAACTTATAAAGGATTGGAATACTCCGCTTAACAAGATTGAGATTTTAAGATGGGACGTCAAGGCTTAATGCCACCCCAAAAATGATGTGGAAGTGGTAGAAAGATATAGCACGCGCACCAACGGAGAAAGAAGATTGGTCGAAGATTAAATGCTAAATACTAAATGTGTATTCTCTAACGCCTTAAACATTGGCCAACAGTAAACGCTTGCCAGTGGGAAGGGAGAAGAGAGGGTAAGAGACCAAAAATCTTCGTTTTCCATGTCCAGTAACATGTTTAAACCTAGTATAGTATACAGAAAATAAAATATATTATAAGCTAAGTTTGTACATTGATGGTATCATCTTCCTCATGAATTGCCATTTGACCTAGTGCTGGAGACAGAGGAGAAGAAGGAGAAGAAAAATCAGAAGCAGCAGAAGAATACGACGTTGAATCAGAAGAAGAAGAAGCAATTTCAATGAGCAAATCCACAAAAGCTCCAACTATGAATCTATGATTCATCTCCCCATTCATCCTTAAATACCATTTCAACAATTCCTCTAAGCATTCCCAGTCCTTCAATCCATGAGTGTCCACCATTTCTTGCATGGATTTCTTAAAATCCAAGTAGGGGTCATCTGATTCCATTGCAAGGACAACACTTTCTTTGAATGGCAAAACTTCTTTATTCGTCGTTTTCGCCTCGTCTAAGATTGAACTTGTGTCTCCCGCAGGCTTGAACAACAGCCTACTGCTTTCTGATCTCACCCCTCGAATAATCGTCTCCACTGATAGATCCCCTCCTGAATTCTCCTCTGATTCAGTTGAAAAGCTAGCACATTCCGAGGAATTCGTGAACCAAGACTCTGGTGTTTCAACCCCATTAGAGGGGTCCAAAAAAACCGAGTTAACCGTCTTGAAAATGTCGTCTCCAGCTCTAAAAGAAAGAGTTTTTGGTTGCTTGCATGAGGGCCATTCCCATGTCTGCTTATTTGCTTCTTTGTTCTTGAAAATCGAAGGTATCAGCTTCATTTTTTCTTGAACAAACTATGAGAGATTTAGGGTTTTTTCAATGAGTTTCTTTGGATATTTCAAGCTGTTAGGTTCCTTTATGTTGTGGTATACTGGTATTAATGGTGATCAGATGGAATAGAAGGGTTGGGGAAGCTATAAAAGGAGAGGTGGGAGGAAGGTGGAAGGAAAATGGGGACTGGTAGGACATCTCATGTCTGTATTAAATGAAAATAAATGCAAGATCACAACAAATGGAAGCAGCAATATTGTCGTTTTTTGACATAATTAATATTTTATATGTTAAGTTTAATGTAGTCATACTGCCAAATGCAGCCTCCCATTGTTTGATAAGTATCCAATAATCACTTTTTGCTTATAATTCATATCTGAATTATTATAATATCACCAGATAATGGAGATTAATTTGTATATTTTATAGTCACAATAATTCTTTCTTGTAGGTTCTGAGAAGCTAGACATGTGACTGAAGAAGAGTGAGACTTTTGTTACAATTAAGAAAATCATAAACTAACACGATTTTTTATCATTTATAACTAACACGAAAACTTCTTATGAGGATTATAGTCATCATGAACAAAGGTTTCTAACATGATTAAAAGACGGTTTTCATTTAAAGATATATGGAAAACTCGAATATCTTTTTGTCAAAAAAGACTAGTTCAGATGAGTATAGTGTAGTATTCATGTCTCATGAAATATGCTCATTATCTTATTATAGTAAATTACAAATCTTCCCAATATAAGCAGAAGCAATTATGCAATTTCTATTTTGCTATTCTGTCAAGTTTTATAATGTCTTATCTAACAAACCATCAAAGTTTGCTAAGAATCAAACGAGAAATAGAACTAGTTTACGACATCACCCTGAGATATGGAATTGAACTCCTTGTAGGCGCAGTGTACAGGCAGCTCTTGTTCCCTAACCTGTTGGGGCATATCCCGCGATTTACCTCCCTCACAAAGCTCTAGAGGCGGAACGATAAGACCCTCAAAGTTGGAGTTCAACCTTTAGTTTACGACATCACGATGAATTGGTAAATATTAAATGGGATAAATAAATTATATCTATCCACACTGTGAAATCTTAAATTACAGACCCCAACGCTGACAAAAACTCTTTTGAAATTGTCAATAATGATTTGTTATGCATCAATTTTTGAAATATACAGTCTTAAGGAAAATGAACATGCAGGGGTCTGAATCAATCACCATAAGAGAAAGAAAACAAATAAACTTTCCACCCCACAATTTCCCAAAAATGACGAAGTAAATTTATCTATTGATTGATTGCATCAGGCCTCAGACGTAAATGTTTCTGACCATGAATTTGAGTACTGTGACACAGTAATATTGGGATGACAAATTGCTATGTAGAAGCAGTTGATTGAATCTCTATTGGGACAAAATTTCAAAATAGGAAGAAAAAGGCAAATATCAAGTGGGATATTAAATGCAAGCATACTTGCCCTTGCCAAACTATTTAAGAGGCATGAATGTTTGATAGAACTGAGGTGACATCTCTTTACTAGATTATGCTTTTCCTGAAATCTGCATGATTCATTACGTCCACCGATGACTTGTTTAGTATTGTAAATCGAACAATATTAAATAATAAAATACATCAAATTTTTATTCATTATAAATAAAATCAAGTTCAATTCAATATTGTGTGACAAACTTTGGTTGATAGAGGGAATTCAAGAAGTTCTTCTAAGCAATAAGAACTTTGCAAGTAAATGATTGTCACTTGTATTTGTAGGTTAAGGCTTAACTTGAGCTCTAGAGTCATGTCTCATATTCCTTGATCGAACTATATTTGGTTAAAGTCTACAAGAATTTCACTGCACATCAAATAACTCCTTTATTACATATCAGATATGCACTTTGCTATTTCCATTTAATACATTTTGGTCATTAACATTATGAAATCGAACTCATTATTTTGTGCAGATAGATATTGAGACCATAGCATGTTACATTAAAATGGTGGCTTTGGTACATCATTCTGGACCCCTACAGCGCTCACTGAGAAGTGATAACTTGTTACAGGATGTGATTGGAAGAAGTGGTTCTTTGCACATTCCACCTTTTACCTTTCATCTATCGTTTTGGTATAAAAGCCTCGATCCATTTTCTCCATCAAATGGGAAGAGCTTCTCACACTCAAACTTGTTTGGTCCTTTAGTCTAATCGACTTCTACCACTAATGGTACACAAATTTTATATCTGACCATTTGGTCTTATGCAATAGCGCTACAATGCAATAATAATTATTGTGGAATGGATTGTGCTTGAGGATTAAGAAGAATCTATTACGTCCAAATTTCCCAAAAAATAAAATTAATAATAATAATAATAATAATAATAATAATAATAATAATAATAATAATAATAATAATAATAATAATAATAATAATAATAATAATAATAATAATAATAATAATAATAATAATAATAATAATAATAATAATAATAATAATAATAATAATAATAATAATAATAATAATAATAATAATAATAATAATAATAATAATAAGTGGAAAATAAAGCAAAGGACAAGAAAACTAATAACAACTTCAACCTGCTGCGTGCCTTTTTTGAACAAATCAGTTTTGTTTTGTCTTAACATGCTTTATTAGTTAAGGGTACATGGTTTGCTGGCAATAATTGAATTGTCTATTAATTGAATGGTTCATCTGTACTGATCGAGTTGACTTTTAAAAATAAACTTTTTTTCATGGTATCATAATATCATATTTGGTACATTTTGGGTGTGGATTCTATTATAAATAACCAAAAATTAGTATTTTTTAAAAATATCTTAAGTAAGTCCAGCGTGTCAAATGTATATAAACCTAATTTTTTGGGAAAAAAAAGAAAAAAAAAAAAAAAAAAATTGAACGGGGGATTGTGCTTGGTGTACATAATTTTATGTACATTAACTTATGTGAGTGTTTGGATACTCTTATATACATAAAATTATGTACAAGTGGATTTTTTAAAAAGAATATACGTCTCAATGTCTAATTGTGCATTAGGATGGACATGCTAAATATGATTAAGACAAAGTGACATGTCGTATTATATTGATTAAAGTTAGCATTGCCTCAAAGTATAAATCTATTCAACCATACTTTAAATTAAACACGACTAACTAATATGATTAAGAAAGCGAGCTATAACGTTTGTTAAGTACTCTCGTTCTATCCTATCTTCTAAACATGTTCTAATAGTCCAACTACCATAAGCATGTAATAACAATAATTGTAAAGGGGACAAGCCTACTTACTATTGAAATAATTGATCAGTTGGCGCAAAATATGGCTCTTTTTTGTTACTTTTAAATTTTTCATTTCTTCTAGACAAAAAACATGTGCCTCTGCGCAGGACTAGAATGTCTTAAATAAACTAACAATTTTGGTTAGACCATCAATTTTATATGGTTAATAAAACACAAAAATAGTTGAAAGAGTTAAGTCTACAAGGAATATTACTAAAATTGTCCAAACATTGTATCCTAACTTCAAAATGTGAATGACAACTTAACTTCGCCAATAAAAGGTGAAGAGAATGGTCCTCTAGTCCCTTGTGTCCACATAAATGACATGACGATCGAGCATAAATATATATTTTTTGAATTAGTTATACTTCAAGAACAATTAAGACTGTATAGAAATTTAGAAATCACACTGCGAACACGCACTCTCAAGATTGAGTGAGCAAGAAGTTTAGACGTACGCTTTGAATAGATGAAAAACAACATCCATTTTTTGTCTTATTACGTTTATATTCGGTTAATTTTGAAAATAGAAAATAGGTATGCATGAACTGTTTTGTCTCCTATCTACCCTCTCTTGTGATTTGTGAAAATCGTCTAGATATTAGGCACATGCTACCTTGACCTTCCATCATTATAATCTTGAAGCTTAATCATCTCTTAATTATGTGTTAACTATTAATTCCAATATAAACAAGATGATTAACATACCGTTCATATTGTTTATTTGTATATATATCTTGTCAAGATTTTATATCCATAACATAAAAAATACAATAAATAAATAAATGTAAACGAAACTAAGCCTGCACGCTTTGTGGATATAACGTTGGTGTTCTAATCACTTCTGGTTCATTGATGATAGAATTTAAATAAATACATTCTTTCTTGTGTCAATGAAGTGGTTTAACCAGAGTAATGTTCTTAGATCAACTTTCACCGGTCACGTCATTCACTTAAAAAAATGTACAAGTTTATAGCTTATACCATCAACATAAATAATAAATCTAACATGTACGTTAGGTGCATAGCCCTTTCTGTTAGTTTAACTTTTAAATGAAGTGGTTCAATAATCGAGGATTATTATACTGTGATTCTTGTCTTAAATAATCTAGAATTCTAGTGAACAAGATTCATCTCATGCATCATCTTATACAATGTACCAAACATCCATGTGCACAGGACTTTGACATTCTAAGAATAAGTAGAGAAGAAAATGTATCTTAACGAGACAGATATTATAAAACTTAGCAGAAAATACGTTTTAAAGAGCAACATTATTCCATTTTATTTAAAAGAATAAAGTTAGTTACTTAACAATAGATTTTAATTAATATAATAACCAGCCTCTGAAATTATACTATCACTAGAATACATTGCACATTGTAAAAGTCAATGGCTCAAAATCTTGTTCCCAAAAGAGTTGAAAGTTTCATTGTCTGCTTCTTTACATTTTCTTAAATTATATAAATTCTTTTTTTTTTTTTTAAATAAAATTTGCAGTTTAGCATACATGGGACTTTCTTAAAGGAATGACGTTAAGCACAATCACTTGTGCATCAGATTCTAGCTTTTCCTTATCAGTGCACCAGTTAATTTTTCTTTTTCCCCCAAGATTTTAGTTCAAAAATTTACTTTCTAAAAAACTACTTTTACTCTTTCTTAAGTAGCTTAGCTGAACATGCTCAAATAACTAGAGTTTCACAGAAATTTCACAAGAAGAAAAGAATAAAAGAGGTTGAGACGATGATCTGAGCACAATCATCATGATCTAGATGGATAAATTATACGGCTAAAGATGGAGACAAGGGTAAATACCTGGCAGTTACCATCTTGTTTGTAGACTATCAACAATTTGGTCAACTCAATAAGCACCAGATTTATAAAATTAATATCGTAACCTTTCATCATAGTTTGCATCATCCTCATCATCGGTATTACCATCATACAAAGGACAGTCACTATGT